TCTAAGTGTAACTACTTTTAAACTAGTAATTTTCTAAATAGTTCTTCCTATGGTTGGAATTATCCCAAAGGGACCTATCAAGGCATTCTGATAACAGAACCATATTTTTAGAGACAGCAAATTGTAGCAGGAAAAATAGCTAATCCCTTCTTCCATCAATACTAATCATCCAAAAAAGACCACACTCCTTATGTGGAGAAAGTGAAGGTTCCTATGGCCCGGATTCTCTCCTATGACCAAGATTCTCACATGGCCCTGGTTGGCTAGCTCACTACACACATGTGGGCCATATGTTGTTACTGACTCTATATAAAGAGCTGCCCCCAGTGCTCTTGGCTGCATGACTATAGGAGAGCAGAGGCTGGCTTGTTGGGAGCATCGAGGACGGAGACCTGAGATGTCTGCAGGGGCAGAGAGCCGCGGAGGCAGAGATTTTCTTGCTGCATGGAGACTTGCTCTGACTGGATGGGAGTCTACTGACTGACCTGCCACCATGGGAATAAAGTTGGGAAAGTTGGGTATAACCCTTTCACCCCAAGAACATTCCACTGTCATTTCTTCGGTCTCATTGAATCCATAGTGAATCTGTCCAGGGCTGAAACCCATTGGCAAGACACCTTAGCAACTGGCATATGTATATCTTTAAGATTTTTCACCAGCATTTCTTTTCAGAAAGCCTGTTTAATGGTCTACATCACAATAACTGAAAGTAACCTTACAAACTCATGAAAATACCAAGTGATAATTTTCCTTTTCCTAAGCTCTAGGGCTTGGATAAATAGTTTGGTAAAAAAACAAAATAAGAATTTCCAAATAACATCCACCTTTAGAGGATACTAAAACCATGAACAGCCTAAAGACAACAATGAATGAGCATATCTTGTTTTCTAAAAAAAAATCTAACATGTGCACACAAAAGGAGAAACACAAGCATCACTTAAATATATTTAAAGAAAACATGAGTCCTACTCTATAAGCTCACCACTATAATGCTAATTAATTTCTAATTACTCAGCTTTATAGTTTTTCTCCTTCATCAATCTACTGTAATAGCATATATTAAGACAGCAATGCATCACAGATGTTTGTTTCTACTGCACATCTTACAGGACTCACATTAAAAAGAACAGCCACAGACTGCAAATTCACATGGATACAAGAAAAAGAACACCTGAAGGATGTTAAATCCTTTGAGTAATCATACTCATATATGGAACTTATTTTTTTCCTCACAATTAGCTATGAGAGAAGTGACTTAGAGTCTGTTGGTAATTTCTGAGAATATATTAATGCTTCCTGGTTCTTTATTTAAGGGGGATCAATTATTTTTTGAGAAAAATATTTAAATTTTAATTAGCCCTGTTCAGTCCTTTATCCACCCCCTTTTTCTTTTCAGGGCCACTGGCCAAAACCTCTAATAATAATAATAAAAGTAATAATTACATAAGTAAATAAAACTGCTCACTCTAGACTAAGGTTACCACCGCAAACCACTCTGGGGCTGCCAGGACCTGGAAGCAACCAACAGTTTCTAAAGTTTAAAGCAGAAGTTGGGAAGAATCTAGACTGTGCCCATTCATAACCTGGTTTATATAATTAACTAAAAGCAAACAAAAGCTAGGCATCAACTTCTTCTATTAAAAATTTGCCAATAATACAAAAATTTAACTAATTATCCTGCACATAGCCCTAGCTGGTGAAGGGAAACTCTACATTAAGATTTTCAACTAATTAATGTAGAATGAATGTGTGAATTAGGGGGAAAAGGGCAGCACTTGCACCCCCCAAATGAAATGAATTAAGGCAGCAATCATTAGTAGATTAAAAACCATTAGTAGAAAAACAGTCCAAGGATCAGAATGTTACCACCTGAAACTACAATCTTAAAGGATGGCTAAAATCACTAAGAGGTGGGATAACCAGATGTTTTATGCTTCCAACTGAGATACAATATGAAGCACAAGAACACCTCTGAAGCATTACTGCTTAAACAATACAATTAAATAATGATTCTCAGTTTAGAGTAGGAACCAGTCATTTCAATGTGTTTGGGAAACACCGTTATAAGGACTACATATTTGCCTTTATGAATAAATTTTTGTATGTGTTATTGATTATCAATTATTTTAACATCAACAGATTTCCTATACAAAGTTTGCTTTGTCTTTCTGTCCAGACTGTATGAGAATGGCTGACTGCTACTTTATTCAACTCAAAATACATAGAAAAGCTCTAAGGTAAGTATTCTCTATACATATTATCTTTCCTAATTTTTTAAATGCAGACATGACCATAAAATATTAATTATTTCTAGCAATTTTTCTAAAAGTGATCCACCCCTTAATAAATTAACTACATTTCTTAAACATGATAAACTGCTCATTATAATAATGTCTCAGTTTATAATCTCAAGGACTTTTGATCACTTTGTTCTCTGAAGCAAATCATCTGACAGATTTGTGATTATGTACTTAGATGTCAGATCTAACTAATTGCAAAGCACTCAGTCTCCTTTCTAGAATAAATTACATTTTCTGAAACACTGTGATCCCTAGCACTATAAGAAAAAAGCAAAGAAGCCAGGTATAAATGCTAGTCCTAAAAAAGTACTGTGTAGTATCAATTAAAATGTGTAATACTGATTCCAAAATAAATCGTCATGTGCTTACCTATGACACAAAAATTATGCAAGGTAAAGTGAATCCCCGAAATATTTAGCAGAAAAGAATCATCACCTAGTACTTGTGTTTTAAATCGTCTTTGAAAAATAGAGATACCTATCAATTACTTCATCTTGAATAAGTACTGTTTGAGGAAGACTCAGCAGGAAATGGATCCCATCAATACTAGTTTGTTGTACACTGAAGTCACCAGACTTATTAAATATCACTGGAGGCAAATAAAAAATAGAAAAGATTTAGTACCATTCTGTAAGGCATTACCTCACTAAAGCAATACTGAATGTCACTATAAAGGGTGTTTGAAGACTACTTTAAAAAGCAAAACAGTAAGTGGTTCCTTATAAAGATGATAATATCCATAAAATGTGTGGGAGAAAAGTTAATGTCCTATAAATGGAGACTTTTGGATTGAGATAAAGTATTTAAAAATACTTTTTCTATAAACTGGCCAGTCTGAAACAGGTGACTAAAGTTGAAGGCTGAGCTCATAATATGAACATAATATCCTTAATATACATTATATATCCCAAAAGAAAGAATTCGGACAACCAATCGAGACTTACAAGTATCTAATAAGCATTTGAACATTATAAACTATCTCATAAGATAATAAAACAGTAACTTAATTTGATATACCTATCACATTAAAATCTTAGCAAATCAAAAAAATAATTTTCAATGCTAGTGGGGGAAAAAGTACAATAGCTATCCTCCTATTATTTGTGTTAGCTTAAATTAGTATATCTTTTTAAGAAAAAATTTTGCAGGAAGAATCAGAACCCTTTAACATTTTCTTTGACTCAATCACTCTAGTTCTGGAGTCTAGCCTAAAGAAATAATTTCAAAGACAAATAAGTTATACATAGGGTTTCCATCAAAATGCTATTTTTTATTAAGAAGTATGGAAGCAGATGTCCAACAAGGGTACTTCTGAAACTACTGCATATCCACTAGTATGCTACACAGCTATTTATTAAACTATTGTCTCAAAAACAATTCTTGGTAAAATGACAATTACAATGAAACACAAAATCATGTGATTTTAATTTTTAACAAAATATGTACTTACATAAAGAGGAAAAAATATCAAAATATAACAGTGGTTACCTCTTGTAAATGATCAAAACTACTGGAGTCCATTATTTGATTTTTAAAACTTGCAACTTACCTACTTTCAAAAACTAAGGATACTTAAAGAAAAAAAAAGCTATAACAAAATGAAAAACCATTAAAAACAGGTAAATGATGAGTCATTTAGTAAAGGAAGATGAATTTACCAAAAGGCATTTTCCTTTTACTTATTAGACAGAGTGCAGAAACAAAATAGTAAGAGCTGAAAGATGACACTAGAATTTATTAAGAATAAATAAGCAACTTTACTCATGACCCCTTAATGTAAAAATGAAGACACCTGAAAAATGAATAATAAAAGTACAGAGTAAGATAAAAGTTAATAGTTATGCCAGGGCTTCTTAATTTAATGAAAAAATTGAGACTTTTTATTATTACTTAAAAAAAAATTTCACTTAGGCCATGAGATCACAAGGAAAATGGTGATGAAGTCCCTAGAAAGGTTGCTAACAATGACTCCACCCAGAATCCAAACACCAAATGGGCAAATAAATGAACAAAAATAAATGCAAAAATTTTATCTAAAGTTATAAATAAATCATTTCACTCATTTTACTTATAAAACATTTCCCCTATATTTTCTTTATCTTGACTCCACAAACTATTAGTTGCAAATTTTTGCATTGTTTTTTGTTAGATGGGTCAAATCCATTGTAAAATGAAGTGAAATATAAATAAGACAAAATGCGAATAAACACCAAGATAAATTCTATAAAAAATTCTTTATAGTTTAAATTGTTTTTTAAAAGAGAGGCTAGCTATGTTTTGAAAAAAACCCATATGTGTTAATGGTTCACTCTTTCTATGCAGTGCTAAATTAAATTAAAATAATCAGATTAGTCCTAAAGAATATGCACAAGAGTCCTGGACACAGATTGAGACCTAGAGAGTGTGACATCAAGTTTAAAGTGTAAAAATTTTATTAGGAACTCAACAGTATTTCTTCTTTTAGTTTGGGAAAGAAGGGGAGGGTGGTAAGAGGAATATAACTGATAATAATTTCAATTACACTTATGAAGAACGCTTTAGTATTTTTTCCAACAGCATTCATGTCTTCTCACCTGAGAAAAATAAAACCTAACAAATTCTTAAATTCCAAAATGAGGGATTCATCATACTTACTTGAGTTAAACAGGCACTTTCCATTTGGCGAAATGGAAGAAAAGTGGTACAGACAATAAATCATACCTAAGAGGGATGTCTCCTTGGCAAATGCTGCAGCAATAGCTGGGTCCAATGCAGGCTGTCCATCCCCAGATGGAAGATCAGGTCTTGTATAATCCCTACTTTTATCATTGTTGTATTTTACATTCAAATTCACAAGTTTGGAAAAATCAATCCTTAGGGTACAGCAAGCATTATAAATATTCTGACCATCTAGGGCCTGTAAAGTGAATGAAGTATATCAGGAATTTTAAGGAATGAAAATTAGCAAAAAGTATAGCTTTGACAATAAAAAAACAATGAAAACCTGCACATAAAAGCCATCAGGAAAGGGATCAACTGTCAGACATCATTCTTTGCTATCCCAGTTGTACATACACGTATTAGTTTCTACAAATACTATATTCTTTAAATACAAGTTTCTGCTTAAAACTGAAACACGGTTAAGCACATGTGCTAATATTTTTAATCCAAGAAACTTGCAAGTAGCTTAAGTAAAAAAAACAAGGGTCACAAATACAATCAGTCCTGCCAAGGCAGTATCATTAATAGCCTGTAAGATACTTTAAAGCCAATTTTAGTATGTATCTGTTCTTTGCTATATGACTTACAAGAATTGGTATAATTTTATAAGGTATTTCTGCTGTTTGGTGCCACATTTTATGAGGTACTTCAAGCCAAATAAATATCACTATGATGCATAATAGCAATTCCCACGAAATGGGCAAAAACTACTATCCTCCTTTAACCCAAGGTATTCAAGTTGAGTTAGAACAACTTGTTGATCTACAAAACCAATGTCATTCCAGAAAGTCTGAAATAGAATGTAAGCTCTAGAGTTGAAAGCCTACATTCAGGTCATCTGGATCAAGTTACATAACCCCTATGAATCTCAGAATATTTCTTATTCTGTAAAACAGAGATGGTAATGGCTACCATGATCCTCACAGGGTTATTATGAGGATTAAATAAAAGACCACATGAGAAAGCACAGCATGAATTATAAAGGACTATGTTGCTGTTATGATTACTATGTCTTTTTTACCCTGCTTCTATATAATCACCATATTTTATACCAGTTGAGTGTAAGACTGTAACAAGCTAGAGAACAGAGACATGAATATATTAATTTTTTGTTAAAAGAATAAACATTTACTATATAAAAAAATAGGTAAGAAAGAAATAAAGAACATGTTTGCTTCTATGAAATCACTGAAAATGAAAAAACAGTTTTCTGGTAACAGCCTGATACTTAACACATACCAAGATCCACTAGTGTGTGTATCTACAACTACACTGTTTTTACTATCAGGCCATTTTTTCACATGAGCTTTTTAAAGAGACTGGGCTGCAATATATACTCACTTTAGGACAAATTCAGAAGATTGCTGAATTTCTCCCTCCAATCTTAACTAATAAATCTCCACTGTTAATCTGAAATTTTTTCTAATTTGCTAAGCAGCAAATTGATAAGGGGAAAAAATTCCAATTAACTGAATGTAATTGCCAAAGATCATAAATAGTATATGGAAAGAGTTTGGTTGGCTCTGGTCATACAGACTGCCTTTTATATAACAGGGATTTCCAGAGCTTTCAGAAACAAAGAAAAACTGAATACTGGCTCCTAAACCCCAAAAGATTATGATTTGTTGTTCAGGATGGACTAAGAGTCCCATTTTTTATAAGCACTCTATATGACAAGAACTTAAGTAGGCTCTGGGTCATATTTTAAAGAACACTATAAATTCTCTTTCCCAAAACCTTAAGGTATACTTTGCCTGCTAAAATGAATTCCTAGTGCTTAAGAGAGATTTTTTTCATCTCTCATTTATTTGATCTATCACTAATGTAGCAATTGAATTACAAAGTTAAGAATCAACTCATTTTACAATACACTGAGATATACATGGATGGTTGAAAGGTGGGAAGAAATCTGTAGTCCACCAGGTTCTGGAAAAGTTGTGAAACAGGATAAAAAGTCCTAATTCATAAAATATGGCATATATTATGCAGGGTTCTAGGAATGTAGCATGGAACAAAGCAGACATGGTACCCACTCTTATATACGTTATAGTCCAAAAGAAAATGCAGGCACTTAAAAAGAAATGATAAATGTGATGTGTGGTGGTTAAGAACTAAGAAAAAAAAGTATCTGATCTAGTTGCAAGGTTAGATGCCTGAGACTTCTAAACTGATAACTGAACAAGGAAAATAAGGCATAAAGAAATGAACAAGCTGGGCATAAAGAGATGAAGAGAAAACAGTCTTCATAAATGGAATAGCAAGTTGTAAACCTGAGAGATCAGAGAAATACAGCATATGCAAGCTACTTAAAAGAAGTCCAACATAGTTAAAAGGTGGGAGATGATCCTAGAAACACAAGCTGAGGATTGACTCAAGAATTTTGTAAACCATGTTAAGTAAGACTGAGGATTTTATATTAAGGACAAAAAGTCACTTACTGAAGGGCATTGAGAATAAGTAATATTAAGCTGAGATCATTCTTACTACTCTGTGGAAAAATAATAGATATGTCAGGAAATAATAATAGTCCGAATGCTGAATTTAGTTACTTGGCCAATGAAGAAGAGATTTAAGAAATGATGGCTTAAATCAGTGCTGCTCAATCTGTGGTTCGTGGACTAGCAGCCAGCCAGTGCACACTGCATGAGGAAAAGAGTCTTTGTCAGATTTTCCATCAACACTGAACTACTGTAACTAGAAGAATGCTGATTTATAGCTTGGCAAAACTTGTAGCATCAGAGACCACAATTTTGAAAAACACTGGTTTAGACTAGGATGGAGGCAAGAGAGTTGGAGACAAAAGGATAGACTCCACAGAAATTTAGGATATAGAATCACTAATATTTGGTGATAGGCTGAACAGAAGAGCAGCAATTAAGGACGACTCCATGTTTTCTGGCTTGTTAGTGACACTAAAGTTTGTATCTTCAACTTTATTGACACAGGAACACCTAGAGGTTGAGCAGGAGTTTTTGAGGGGTAGGTGACAAGAGTTGAAATGAACATGATAAGTTTGAAGGTACTCCGTGGTTCATGAGGTTCCTCATATGGGTCGTTTAGAAGAGATCTGAGTTAGGGAAAGTGATGTGAGCACTGTCAGAGTCACAAAGGTATGAGCTGTGGGAACAGGTGAGTTCCCCTGACTAGAAGGGGAGGGATGTGACAAGGAAGAAACAGACAGGTGGGTCATACCTAGTGAGAAGTGTCAGACACCAGGGAAAGAGAGGATTTTAAGAGAATGGCTCAGTGTCAAATGTTATCTAAAGGTTAAGGGCTGAACAATACTGTTGAGATTTAATGACTCTAGTGATCACTGGTGATGCTGGGAAGAATAATTTGGGCAAATTAGGGATGAAACCAAATTACAGTAGGTAGAGAGATAAGAAGGGGATAAGTATTAACAGCAAACAAAGCTTATTTAAGAAATCTGGTTGTAAACAAAAAGGGAGACAGGGTGATATATGGAGATATGTAGGGTTCAGGGTATATTCATTTAAAAGGAGAGCAACTTATGGATGCTTGAGACACTGGTGAGAAGCAGTCAACACAGAGAAAAGTATCAGAGAAAAAGGGGCTGAGAGATAATGCACAGTCTCTTGGGAGGCCGAAGAGGATGGCACCTGGTGTTTACTGGTCTTAGAAGTATCTGAATCTTTTATTAGGAAAGAGAGATAGGTACAGTATAGGTTTTGTAAGAAAAGCTGATGTAGTTTCCATCTCACAGTTACTGTTTTTTCCCTGAGAAGTAGTAGACAAAGCTGTAAGTGAGAATGAAGAGAGACTTGGAAGGAGAAATTTCTGACAGTTATTGTGAAATATGGGAGAACATGCTGACTAGAGAAATGTATAAGAGTTTTCAGGTAAAGTACAGGGCCAATTTGTAGTTGATGCTGGTCAATTTAAACCAGTACCAATTTTTAGATTACGTGCTATTCTCTAGATACACTCCACAGTCTCTAGACATAAGCATGTAGAAAGATTATTGGAGTTATCAGATGTGTATGTCTTAACAAAAAGTCTGGACAACAAGATAATGGTGCAAGCAAGTATAGGAAGCACACTGCTTTCTACTCCTCCAGTAAGTGAAATGAAGTTGGGTTCAAATACTAGAATAAATATTTAATAGTTAATACTATACAATTACCTACTCTCTTAGAATTACAATTGGGCATCTTTAGAGAGAAAACCAGAGTGAGTATATATAAACATTCACAAACATCCACAGTCTGATGTTTGTTATCTGTTAAAAACTAAATGAAAAACTGAAATACTTGATAACATAATAATCTTTCATCATGAATCATGAGGTTAAATGTAATTATAGGTTACTTCAGATGAGATACACATATAAACTATTTTCCCCTTGTGGTATTAAGCCCAATGTGGTATAATTAATTCCTAATCAAATTCTATCTCATTGTTCTTTACCAAATACTCTTCCTCCAAATCAGAAGGGAATGGCAAGAAAATATTTCACATCAAGAAAAATGTGCAATATATTGAAATGTTTGAAGTTGCAAAAAATGCCATAGAGATAATGGCTTCTAGAATATCTGCTCCTGACAAACCACATACCACAGATTTTGATAACTACCCTTTAGAAATAAAATACCTCCAAAACTGGAGGGCTGGAGCATGTTGAAATAGATAATCATTTGGGGGAAAAATAACTGTTAATTTATGCCTGAGAAGGAAAATAAGATTAGATCATTTGACTCAGAACCAGTAACAACATATTAGAGAAAAGTACACTGAGAAAATGTCTGCCCTACAGATAGTAGCATTATGGTAAGTAATTTACCTCTTTAAATCTTAGCATACCCTTGTAACATAGGAGAAATTCTTGTTTTGTTAGTAGCAGTCAGAAAAAAATACTGTAACTACACTTGGTAAACCACTCCATTATGCTATTCTGATTAGTACAGCATCTGTGCTACTTCAAGCTATTTTTGCTCCCCAAAAGAGAGTCTGAGGATGGAAAAGGCAAAGCAACAATAATCAAAAATGGTCTGTCTTTGAGATTAAATATGGCGGCATGAGAGGTGAGACAGAGGTTTCCTCCTAAAACCGCATATAATACGAAAATGTGATTACTACACCTAATCCTGAAAGAGCAATAGAAAAGAGGGCTGCACCAGACTGCATACACCTGGAGGAAAGAATAAACCTCACGGAACAGGGTAATGCACCAAAGCC